TGTGAGTTCGAGGCCAGCCTGGGCTACCAAGTGAGCTCCAGGAAAGGCGCAAAGCTACACAGAGAAACCCTGTCTCGAAAAACCAAAAAAAAAAAAAAAATGATCAATGAAGATAATAGTTAATTGAAAGTAATCCAACTAAAGTTTACATGCTTTATCTTCTATAAATTGGCATCTTGAAAATAAATCAGAAAATCTTTAAGACATGAACTTTTACTGATCTAGAATTCAGGAATAATAATGCATGCTCTGCACTCTATTTTCATCAGAATTAATTATGCTTAGCAGACAGGGGCCTGTTCTCTGTTCAAGTTCATGTATTCATGAAGACCATCACAGCCTTTTCCACATGTGGCACAGTCAGCCCAGACACAGGTCTCCAGGAGGGAAAGAGGAGACTATACCCCCAAATTTCAGCATGAGTTCACATAATAGCCAACACCCATGGTTCATTTTAAAATGTTCTTAGTTATTCAAATAATTGTTTATGCATTGTTTTTTATTTCATTCATGAATATAATGTATTTTAAATTATATCTATCCTTACCCCACAGCCTCTTCCAGAATTTTCCTCACAACCCTGTGGAACTTCATTTCTTTTTTTCTCTTTCTTTTCTTTTTCTTCCTTCCTTCCTTCTTTCCTTCCTTCCTTCCTCCCTCTTTCCTTCCCTTCCTTCCTTTCTTCCTTTCTCTTTTTCCTCCCTTCTTTTCCTCCTGCCTTCCTCCTCTTCTTTTAATAACCTGGATCCAATTAGTTGTGTCCACAATCCCCTATGTGGAAAGTGTCATTCACTGGCCCATGATCAATCTACATTGGGCCACATTGCTGAAGAAAATGAATTCTCTAATTTTTAATTTTTTTTCTAGAAAATTCAGTTATACCATGGTTTGGTATTAAAAAACAGTTTTTAAATTAATCATTTAAACTATATAAATGATGATGATATTTTTCTTTCATTCTTGAAGTGCTGATGACATAAAAACGTAGGATGCCTGCTGGAGAGATTCTGCCAATGTTATTTCATTGTTTATCATGATGCCAGCATGCACAGCCTGGAGTAAGTGGTAACTGAACCACTGAACGCAGAATATTTGGCACTTCAATAACAGCCTTTGGCATAAAGGGTGGTGACGGGGAATGTTTTGCCAAAGTTGTGTAGGATGGAATCTAGCATGTGGAACTATCATCGAAAAATCATTCTAGGACTCCAAAAAAATATTTAAAAGGATTTAAAAATAATTAAAATGAGCTCTTGTTGACAGAAAAGCTTTAGTATTTGGCAAAGGCACTTGAGAGAAAAATTCTGCTTCACCACCAGTTAACCATGATCTCTTGGCCATGTTCAGCAGTGTCTTGATCATCCCTCAGGCACTTGTGTTGTATCCTCATTTCTAGATGTATGTCTCCATCAATTAATCCAATGCCCCTGGCAGCTACTTGACTCCCGTTCACTAGCATATTAAATAGCATATTTTACAGTGTTTCAAAAAAATATACCAGGAATCAGTGCTGATTTTTTTTCAGATAAATCCCTGTGCTGATTACCATGAAGTACTTTGATGTCGCTGTCACTATGACAACTTATGACAAGAACTAGTTGCTGGAAGCTACCTAGTAAAAGGAAATGTCATCTGTATTTCTCAATAAAAATGAGACACATAGGACCAGTGCTTTAATACCTAAATTAGTATGTGAATGGTAAAGGAATGTTAAATCACCACTGGACAAAGAAACACCTCAGGCTAACGAGTCTCTTAAGGTAAGACTTGGATAATTGAAAAACGTACATTGGAATTTTTGGTCAATTAGAAAGGAAAACATTATTTTATAATCATAATATAATAAACTATTTAAGGATATGAACAGCTCTTTGTTTATTTCTGCTGTATGTTTATAACCTACAACTCAGTGAGAGCCATAAGCAGTTTACCTATGTAACCATGCTCCAGAATCTACTGGAAGGTTCTTAGGGGAAGCAACATTTGATTCACTCTTTGTATTTTTAGTGCATTGCATAATTTTTAATTTTCAGCTTTTTAAGATAGAAGTGAGTCATCCACTTGTACTGTTCCATTTTTAATTAAACAAGGACTTAAAGTCTTTTTTTTCCTAACTTTAAAAATAACTCTAACCTCACGTGTTTTCTGCCCCTTCCCCTCAGGGGTGTCCTACAGAGAAGAAACGCAAAGCTGCTGGAGGCCTGGGAAGCTTCTGCTAGTCTCTCAACACCATTCATTTGCACGTGAACCCTGCCAATACTCTTGGATAATTTATGCTCCATTTTGTGCTTGTTTAGGTTTGTTCACTAGAGTGTCAGTATTCTGACATTTGCTGTGTAAGAACAGTGTCACCACACGATTCGACACAGAACGGTTGACAAATGGCAATTTTCCCAGTTATGTTTGCCTTTCGGTTTGATCGGAGGCAAATCTGAAACTCTTAGTGGGATTCCTTCCCCGGAGACTTTGCTGGGTTACGATGTACATCACCTGTTTCCATCTTAAAATTCGAATCCTCCTTTGAGAAATTATGAGACCACTACATTCATATATGAATATAGGTTGGAATCACGGCCAAGGTCACTTGGATCCTTTTCCAACTTAGTAGACCCACAAACATAATGTAAAGATGATCATGTTTTTTCCTTCAAAATATATCAGTTAGCATTAGAGACACTGAAAGAAAAACAAAATATTCTTTCTGAAAAATGAGGTATTCTGAGTATATTATTTAATATAAAACGTCAAGAATGTTTTCAGTATTGGGCAAATACACCTATAACAAATGAGAAAAAAAGGCAAAATGAAAATTGGAAAATAGCTTAAATTCTCCCCAGTAACTGATATGATCAGATACCTTAGTACTCAATCTATATTTTATTCTATCATTCTATTTTAAAACTTAGCTAGGCATAGCATGGCTATTTATTTTAATTAAATAATATTTCTCATATCCTATTATCTATAAAAAGAAGAGGTAAATTTAATTGCAATGAAGAATATTTTGGAAATACCTAAAGAGAATTCACAGAAAAGGTTATATATGAATAAACATAGATACAAACAAGGAAAAAAATGGTCAAATGTCTGCTGGCTATGCAGGCGCTTCAAGAAGGATTATGGACTTCAATTTCCAGTGAAAATATTTAAAAATCCATTGCAGAGACATTTGTTTTCTGAGGTATAGTTTCCTTACCAGTCATAGCCTCTACACTAAAATAAGTCTTTAAGAGACCACATTGCATATCTCATGCAGACGACACACGCACACATCACACCTCTTTACCACCATCCACCTAACCTATTTCACAACCTATATTATAAGCAATATTTATGACTAGAGTAAGTATTCTAGAATGGCTTTGGTGAGAGCTATGTCCCAATATAAAGTGGCCTGAAGCAATGCCCCCCAAGTTACAAGTTTAGACATTGCTCTGACTTTACAAAGTAAATAAATGAAAACTCTGATCTGTCCTGGGATCCCCACATACACTAAGGCCTTTTCTGAGCTTAGGGCTCATGGCTGTTTCTTTTCCTTCACACTTTTCTCCCTGAGTAAGCCTAATTGGCATCAGGAGTGTTTATTTTAAACTCCGTTGACTCTGTTAAACAGTAAATAATGTGGAATATTGGCCAGATACTTTTACTCGGCTACAAATCTTGAACTGAATAATCATTTAAAAGTTACTATATTTAACACCCACAAAGGGTTCAATGTCTTGTGGTTAAGGTTTTCTGCCAAATACTCACCACAAGCTCTGTGTGGATGGTACTCAGAAGTGATAAAGGAGGTAGAAATCTGTTGTGCAATGTGAGTGAGTCCCTCCCCCGACCCTGCTGACATCCCAGAGCTCAGTGAACCTAAGACACCTTGAAGTCTATTTATTTATGATAATTGTTCTTTTGATGAGCCCAGGCATTCTCCCACCTCTGAAATACACAGGTCCTATTTACTTGCTATCACCATCTGTCAGGATACATTTGAGTTGAACAAAGCCGCAAAAAGACTAATCCCACCTGCAGATGCTGCGCAACCGAGAAATTAATCCCAACAAAGAAAAGCATCATGGAGCAAGCATAGGCACAGCTCTTTTCATTGTGGCATAATCGTTTACCTCACTTGACTCCCTGGGAAAAGGAAAGAAAATTCTAGTTATTTTCCAAGCAAATCTACATTTGAAACTTCACTGTAGGACTTGACATAAAAAGAGATGGAAATCCCTGTGGTATCTTCTCGCTTTTGTTCTAACATTTGCTGTTCTCTGAACTCCAGTCATGCCTGGGGTCCATGACCAGGGGGATGTCTGGCTTAAGCTTGGGAAGAAGTTTCAGGAATGTGCTGTCTGTTCTTGGGCTCTAGACTGACACCTTTGTTAAAACAAGAGAAACGTGAATGCAACGGCTTTGGGTGAAGGCAAAGGCCAGGAAAACAGGCACTTTGGAGGAGTGTGCGGGCACGTGTGAAGCTAATTCACCTGCCTTGCCTTTGTGGTTGATGAAATGATGGTGTTTTGAGGATGATTTGTAACCTGCTGGCCTTTTTCTCCTGTACGTCATTCATTCAACTTTCCCTCGAGCTATTGATCTTTCATTTCCATGGATACCCTGAACTCCCGTTTGCCGATCATGTTAGTTTTATGACTACTGTGTCGTTTCTCATTGCCCTGTGGTATTTCTTGGGCATCTGTCACCTGTTGGAACTGTCTCATTTGTTTGATACATTGTTTCTTTCCCTCCCAGGAGTGTGAATTGAAGGAGAAAAGGAAATTCTATGTGTGGTTCAACGATGCTGCAATAATCCTCATCATGCCTAAGGGGTTGCAGGCATGCTGAGATGGTGCATGGAGGGTTAACCACCGGCAGCAACAGCTAATTTTAACAAAATACGAAGATGTTTGATTAATAAATGAAAGAGTGAATGATTAAAGTCACACTGTGGAATTTATTGAAATTAATTGGACCCAGATTGTGTCACATAATGATCTATTTATTGCTTCCTCGATTTTCGCTTTAAGTTAGCTCAGATTTTCCTAAAGCTAGAGGGTATTTGCAATAAATTCCTCTCTACTGCTCCCTAGGCACATGCTGCTTAGAGATAGATCACCGTCTCTTTCTGCAAGATCTGAAAATATTAAGCGACTATCCCCCTACATTGATTTATGATTCATGGAGCCTGAGAGAGAGCTGCTGTGCCACCAGGCTTTAACATTTGGGATCTCTGGAATCATCACCTGCTGCTCAAGCCGAGGCTGTTTTGTAAGCTGTTTTCCAAACAGCATGAAGCTAGGCATGGCAATTAACACTCAAAGTCATTTCCACAAACTGGAAAACACATCAAGAGAAACAAATGGCTAAAACAAACTACAGCTGTACAAAAATTAACGGAATCCCTTGTATTCGAATTTTTCAAAAATGCTAATACCTGCTAACACTCAGAACAATAGTTTTGATATCAAAACAAAGCATACCATGGTACTTGCTTAATATAAATGTAAGGTAAATGTGATAAAAGCATGAAATTTCATGTGCTATATATGGATTGACTCCAATCCCAGGGAGATAATACAATTTGCTTTCATTTACATAGGACCAGCTTAATTTATACCATGATTTGTTCCCATAAAGCACCTAACACTCACCATGGAAGATGTTTCAGTAAAAACAAGCACCCTTGGTAAGCTGGCTGGAAATTCTCTGCAGTTGGCCTTAGAGCTTCATGACAATTCAAGCTCCTGGCAAGTCTAAATTCTGATTATCAGATAAATTCCTCCAGAATTGATGTGCCAAAATAGAAGTCCAAGAAGATGAGTAAGGAAAAACTGTAACACTCTTGTTATTTCCTATCTTCAAGGATAGAATCAAGGATACTTTCCCCACTAAGAGTTTTCCTGAGGACCTTACACTGTCATCTTTAAAACCTGCACAAACCAGTGAATTATCTTCACCATGGACACAAGCAACGGCAGATGTAGCTTGATTCAAATACTCACACACACAATCATTCAGCTATCACTTAAGCTGGGCATAGTGGCACAGCCCTATAACCCCAACATTTGGAGACTGAGGGAGCCAGCCTACAAGTTCAAGACTAACCTGGACTGTACAGCAAGATTCTATCTCAAAAGAAAAAAACAATTTGAATAGAATGTCCTAAGGCCTAAGGTTAGGAACTCACTTAAAAGCATTGCTCATGTGGGGCAACAGAGAGGCAGCTCAGGGTCTAAGAGCTCTCTCTTGTTGCTCTTCCAGTTGTAAGGGCACCATGTCCAGTTGACTGACAAGGGTTCAGTGACCCAGTCCACTGAACCCTTGTCCAGTTCTCAGTATCCACATGGTGCCCTTACAACTGCCTGTAACGCTAGCCTCAGGGGCTGACACCTTCCTCTGTGCCCTGCAGGCACTATGTGTACATCATGCACAGACATGCATGCAAAACACCCACACATGTAAAATAAGATGTATATTAAAAAAATATTGCTCCCATTATGTCCAGGCTTTCTTTTGGGCCACCAATCAGCTTCCAAATCATGACAGGAGACTTACTGTTAGTTGTGAATGCTCGGCCGTACTGTCTGCTTGTCCACTGGCTCTTATAACTTAAATCAACCTGTTTCTCTTCACCTATGTTTTGCCTCGGGTCTTTTTAACTTTTTTTCACTCTATATGGCTACTTTCACTGCTTGCTCTGTGTCTGTCTGTCTGTCTGACCCAGGCCTCTCCCTCTCTTTCTCCCTTGTTCTCTCCTCTCAAGACTCTATTCCTCTTACTACTCATTCTCTGCCTGCCAGCCCCGCCTATCCCTCTTCTGCCTGGCTATTGGCCATTTCGCTTTTTATTAGACCAATCAGGTGCCTTAGGCAGGCAAGGTGAAATGATAACACATCTTTACACAATGGAGCAAGTGCAGCATAAACAAATGTAACTTCTTGTGCCCAGATCGTAACCCCCAGAGAGACCACCAAGGACGAGCATACCTGAATGCAAAAGCAAGGTTTATCTGTTACAAGTCATGACAGGGAACTCAACTCAAGCCATCTCAAGTGAGGCAGAGAAGAGTTATTCTTTCTTGGGGAAGATAGTTTTTATAGGCAAAACCCATAAAATTTCTTAGAGGGGAGGGGGTTAGTACGGGTCCATCCTTGATTGGTCCAGTTTTTCCCGGGCCTGGACTTCATCTGATTCTAGCTTATCTGTTTGCCCTGTCAGGAGTTTTACAAGTCCTCTCCAGGGTCTGGTCATGTTATCTCCGGAGAGGGGCATCTCGTGGTTAATTGGTTACCATCAGACATCCTGACTCTGTTCTTTTGTTCCTGGGGCTGGTGCCATCATTTCTGGGGACTAGAAACTGGCCTGGGTCTATCTATATTGAGATATCTTTGTCTAAGGCCCCCTTTTTGAGACAATAGAGTGAGGGTCTTGTTGTGCCTAGGTACAGACTTTAGGTACAGAATGCAAAAGTAAGGTGTTGTCTAAGTATACAAGCCTCCAGGGAGGCTCTTCTAAATCTCTCACTCACAGCAGGGAGGTTAGAAGGAGCACTCCCCTTTCTTTGTGAGGCTAGTTCTTAAAGGCACAGACCATATAATTTATTTTAACCCGCCTCCCTTTTTAGTCTTTTGGTCAAATATCCTGACTGTGTTTTCCAAAGTCCCTGTAGCAGATACAGCCACCTGGGGAAAAGGGGTCTAAGTTCTTATCTGCACTTAGGAATCCTGGTTTAAGCTTCTCTTTGTCTGTAGGGGATAGAGTGGGGGGTTTTATTGAGGTATCACATAACTTACCTTTACACAGCTAAAGTAATATTCCACAACACCTTACATTTGTTACTTTTTAGCTGAAAATGGGCTTAAAGTAGAAACTGATCATAAGTAAATGGATGTATCTTTGTATTATTCTTACACTAGAGTACTAGAGTACTCTTTTTAAAAGGAGTAAAGAGAAAAAGGATCAACCATGTTACAAACAAAGCAAAATAGAAAGATGTTTGTGAAGACATGCACGCACCCCCCCCACTCCCCCACCCCCCACCCTCACCCCCCCGAGTTAAGCAGAGGAGGGCAGTGTCTGCCCTATCTCATCCTCTCCCCTGTAGGGCTCGCCTCAAATGTAGGCCAACACCACAGTCCTCCTTGTTAGTAGAATGAGTTGAGCCTTTTGACCTCAGCTAGTTCTGCCCCACCCTCCCCTCTGGCTCTTTATGGCCTTTAGTGTGATGGCTATCTAGGTAGAATTCATTAGTCTAATACACTTTACTGGCTTTTTAGCATTTTAAAGAAGATTGTTCCAATAAAGTGAATTCAAGTTTCTTCAATTCAATTACATTTTGGGGGAAAAAAATCTGAAACTAAGTCAATCAAAAGCTCATCTTCTTCTTAATTACAGCAGTCATTCTTCTTTAAAAAGCCAAACTTATGCTTTTAAAGTGAGAAAATACTTGTTTGTTTACATTATATAGGAGTTATTTTAATCCTTTTAGACTTTTTTCCAGCACATATGGAGTAATTTTTCATTAGAAAATACTCTCATCTTTCATGTAAAAAATAAAATGTGCGGTGAACCAGCTGAAGCTCCAGTCTAAAACGAAACGATAAAATTAATTCCGTGATTTGAGTCAGTGATCAGAAACACCATTGGATTGATTCATTCCAAATAACTGTCTCAATTTGGCAACGGTTTACAATGAACAAAATGTGTCAGGATCTGTCCTGAAAAGCATTGTTTCTGCAGAACAGACCCTCTTACGGATGAATCCAGATGTCACTCTTCCATCACTTAATTTCTAGGTGTTCTACAGTGGAATTTTTTTCTCATATATTTTAGTGAAATTATGTTATTAATGGGAGAATGCATTTTTGTCTCCTCTGATTCTCAACTGTCTTCCCAGCATCTCTTTATTCTAATTGACCAAAAGGGGGGGGGCGGAGAGAGAGAGACAGAGAAGAGAGAGAGGTAGAGAGACAGAGAGGGAAGGAGCAAGGGAGGGAGGGAGAGAGGGAGGGAGGGAGGGAGGGAAAGAGAGAGAGAGAGAGAGAGAGAGAGAGAGAGAGAGAGAGAGAGAGAGAGAAGGAAGGTTATTAGAGTGCCTGAGTGTATTATGGAATGGAGCCAAGCAAAAATTCCAAAGAGAT